ATGTGTCAAAGGCTTGGTCTCCAGTGTGGCTCTACTGGGAGATGCTACAGACCTGGTGGGCCTCAAGTGATTGGGAATGAGCCTTCAAAGGAGAATGTAATACTGTGGGCTTTTCCTTTCCTCTCTGTTGCTCGACTCTTAAAGCACATATTGTTTTGCTCTTCCACACACTCCTGCCATAATGTGCCACCTTCATCAGAAGCCTAATTGCATGGAGCCACTCAACTTTGGACTGAAATCTCCAGACCATGAGCCAAAATAAATCTTTTCTCTTTATAAATTTATTACCTCAGGTATTTTGTTACGGTAATGGGAAGCTGATCAATACAGTGGATTGGCATGTGTGTATGGAAGTGTAAGAAATATGAGTTGAAAGAGTAAATAAAACCAAAAAAGTATGATAGATATCATGAAATGGGAAGAAATTGCTCAAAAAGAAAAAGAAACTGGAATGGGGAAAGGAGAAAAAAAGGAAGGAAAAAGGAATATATATATATATATATGATAATTATACTACTAATTGCTATTAGTTTGTTGAAAAGAAAGGTTTATGCCTATATTGTTTGATCAATTTTTCATGTCTATGTCTTGTAATATGAGCAACTACTTTGAAGATAACAATACACAATGTACTAACTGTTGTCACTCTCCTAAAATCTTGTTTTAAAACTTTATACCATTGGTTTCATTGGGTTTTTTCCTTCTCTTTAAGATTAAAAAAAGAAATTTGGATTGCAATCAAAAAAATATTTAGAACAAATGATAAACCATGAGGGCCAAATAAATTGATTAATGTACACATCTCAGCCAAAACAAAATACTTAATGATTTACGTGTGAATTCATAAACTGTTTCAGGGAATGCTGAGTAAATCAGTGCCTGCAATGAATGTCTACTCAACATTTGAATGGGCTCACAAGTCTCACATGAAGCTGACATTAACCATGATCTCCTCAGCAAAGAGTGAAGCCCTCATTCAGTCAGCCAGTTATTTCGTCAGATAACCAGAGTCCTAGTGCCACTTGTAAGATGTTACTGCTCACCACTATGTATCCACCTGAACAGCAAGAACCCTCCTTCTGCTTCACAGCATCCAGACGGGGAGGGGTACACAAAGAGCTGTTTGGATGGAGCTCATGAAACCTCAGGGCATTGATAAGTAGCACTTTTGCTGATTATTAGAAAGTGTAAAGATGTCACAGGAAGATATTAGGAAATCTTCCAAGACACCGTCTCATTCAAATACCTTGTAGTCTCCACATAGAAGGTGAGGAAAGTCTGTAAGATGTGACTTGGATCCTGTGTAGCTCCCTGAAACTAGTGATGGTTAAAGCAACTGACAGTTTCTTCCTCCTCCCCTTCTGTTCTCCCTTAGATCCAGATGACCTTGACCAGCACTGCTTTCAGCCTTCTCTTTGTCTATATCCCATTCTAGCTCAGGTGACCCTCACCTTGGATGAGGCAGAGGGACTGGCAGGCAGAGGGGATTCTCACATATCCCTCTGTATTCTTTGACATTTATTTTGTAAATTTCAAAAATATTTTTAAAGAGTCTATGTTGAAAGTAACCTTCTCTTTACAGACCTACTGCAACAATCCTAGTTCTCTACAGGTAATTGTGGACGAGCCTGTATGGCTTGAGGAAAGGTCAGAATGTAAAAGTGTAGAAAGACAAAGAGACACAAAATTTAGTATTTCAAAGTAAAATGTATCTACAAGGACATTTACTCCTTCCTTCCTCCACTGATTCACCAGTTTTTCATTTCTGCTTCAGTGACTTGGCTGAAGTTTCTTCTCAAATCTTAGCTGTTAAATTTGCCATAGGTTCAATATTGTTTGTCCAGACTTCTTGTGACCAGGAGAGTTTCTAATTTCAGAATTTTTTGGATTTTAGAATATATGCATATAGATAATGCAATATTTGGGGGATGAGTCCCAAGACTAAGCACAAAATCCATTTATATTTCGTTACCCTAATGCAAATAGCTTGAAGTAATTATATTCAATGGTTTTAGTGCATCTGCATTTTCACTGTGACCCATCATAAGAGGCCAGATGTGAAATTTTCCTTTTGTGGCATCATGTGAGCATTCCAAAAGTTTCAGGCTTGGGAACATTTCAGATTTTAGATTTTCATATGTGGGATGATTCATCTGTAGTTTCTTTATTTCAGATTTCAATCTCTGACAGCATTTGATAACAATGACCATATCCTCTGTACTAGCTAAGAAGTGCAGGTGATGATACATAATCAGCAGAAGTCAGACTCCATAACACCCTAAATTAATTGGAAGAAAGACACTAAGATGGTGCCTTTCACATGAATTCCTCATTTAGCCTGTATCTCAGGTCCTACATCCAGGCCTGGCATTTTCAAACATATCCCCTGACCCATGGTAGAAATTAACTCCATAATAACCATAACAAATGCAGTTGACAAGTCTAAATATTATTAATTTCAATCAATTAAAACCTACTCCCTTGTAACTTACCTTTATTATATCTGGGACACTGTGGAATAAGAAGTTAAATCTGGAGCAGACATAAAACACCAGGCATGAACATATTAGCCATTCATTGTGGAAATATTCTCCAATATCAAATATACAAGTCAGACATTCTAATAAATAATATCCATGAGCTTGCTAATCTTACCATCTTAGCAAAAATATTTTTTAAAACGTATTTAACAACATAAAAATATGCAGATAGTATTTATGTGTAAAAGCATATTTTAAATTCTATTTGTCTATTCATTTTACCTCCTAAAACTGCTTTTTTGCTTTGATAAAAGATGAATAAGGAATAAAAAGAAGACCAAACTATATACTTCCAGAAAAATATAAGCATCTTCCCACCTCGCAGGCCCCCGGAGGGAGGGCCCCCCGGCACATAGGGAGCCACGGGCGGGGAGCTCCGGTCTTCCGACTGGCAGCTCGCTCCCTGCCTCCTAGGCAACCAGAGGGAGGGCCTCTGGCACACGGGGAGCCATGCGGCGGAGAGCACTGTGGTGCACCGGCCTTCAGGCCAGCAGCCGCTGCTCAATTGAGAACTATCATGACACAGAGAAACAATGGCACAATTGGCCCACCATGCACCGGCTGCAGATGCCCACCTAAGGACATGTGTGAATTATTCAAACATGGAAAAACCCCTGGGAATACATGCTATACAATGGGCCACTCTTGCTCCTGCCATTGAGAACCAGAAAGGTCTAGAGTCAGCAGAGGTGCAGCTGCTGAACAAGGACTCAGAGAACATGAGAATGCAGACTAAGCCCGAGGGGTCAGAGGTCCTGTGGACTGGGGTCATGAGAGCCACTCAGAAGCTGGAAACCAGGAGGACCTTGCACAATACATGCAGAGACGCCCTGGAACCCATTCTTCCCCTGACAGTACAGGCTGTGGTGGAGCCCCGGAGAAGTCTGCAGCAGGATTCCTTCTGCCTGTGCTGACAGTTGGGGAGAGGACACTAACTGGTTGTGGGGCCCCAATGCAATGGGAGGCTGGAGAGAAAACGCTACAAAAAATGGCTTTGGCCCCAGATAGCTCACTTGATTTTTGACAACCCTTAGGCTATAACTACTTGTTAGATCCTTCTTGCATATCTCTGTCTTCCTGAGAAACCACTTCGAAGATACCAACATGTATTACAGCAGTCATTGATATTTTCCTACAAATCTATCCATAACTCTGTAATGTTTGTATTGTTCCTATCCTATTTCATAAATGGATACATGTTTATTATTATGTGTTTCCTACAACAACCATTGAGAATAGTTAATGATTATTCAATAGGTCACTCATGTATAGCTCTATTTATTTTCTTTAGAAGCCACTTTGAAGATACCTAAGTGTAGTACAACAACTATTGATAATCTCTTACCTCTTTTGTCTGTAATTCACTATTATTTGTCTATTTGTTTTCCTGAGAAACTATCTTGTAGATAACAATATATAAAACAATAACCATTGATAATTTCCTACCACTTTGTCTGTAATTTGGTAAGCCCCCCCCCCATTATTGTTATCCTTCTCTTACTCTTTAAAACAAAAAAAAAAGAAAAGAAAAATCTAAGCATACATCCATGTTAGGAAAGGCTATTCTCAAATAGACCTCATTCAGTAGATCAGACATGAACCAATATTCCTTTTAAAAAGAGGTGAGAATAGTGATTGCAGGTCTTGTGTTTGACACACTAAATAGAGAAAAAATCCTAGGAGAAGATTGATTTATATGTGTTCTCAGACAAGAGGGCAGAAGCACCCTGTGACCACAGCCCAATGGATTCTGCTCTGACACTGAAGTAGTTCAGTCAGCTGACAAGAATACAGATCTCTGCCTACAAGAGGGCATTCTATAGGGCAGAGCATGACAGGGCTCTTTACCCTATACCCTACTCTATAGCGTAAAGCACGAGATTATCACTCGGGATGGAAATGTTTGCATCTGCCTTTTTTCATTCAAGCTTCTTTTTTTTTTTTTTTTTTTTATTTATTTGTATTTGATTTCATTAAAGGAAGCCAACCTCTCTAATGAGGAAATTGTGTTCTTTCTGTTTTCTTGATCAGTTTTGTGGAGCTTGTGCAGGCCCGTGAGCTGGGTCAATACACTTAAGAGAAGCATTGGGGTGAATGAAGCATTGTAGGACCTCTAGTCTAACCTTCTAATTATACAAACAAAAAAGTCAAAGTCCAGAGAGCTTTTCCAAGAACACATAGGTAGTTCTTGCGGGTGTTTATGAATATTTTTCATCTTACAATTTTAAAAAGAATTTTTAAAAAAGAGTATCTGGACTCAAAATTGGGAGAACAAAGGCCTTGTTTACACAGGCAGCTGAGAGTTGAGAAGCGTGTGCGGGAGAGGAAGAAGAAAGAGGAAGAGTGCGCATTCGCGCTGGCAGTGTAGGCTAAGTGCTCGTCCTGCAGATGTTCGCTCAACCCAGCGCCTGCTGGATTCCAAACAACGCGACCAACGCCCTCGGAAGCCTACTACCGGTCTCAGCACAGGCCTTTACACTGGATAACGGCGATGCTCCGCCCTCTGCATCTAAGCGTGCCCGCTTCACACTCGAACATCGTTTACTCCTTGCCATGCACTTCCACACAGATGTTAAACCCCTGCTCCTGGCGCTCTGATGCTTCTTGGCAGACATAGCTGTCGCTGTGGAAAAATAAGCAAGAAAGGCTTGATAATACACCATGCGGGGAGGTGACTCAAAGCACATCACCTCTCCAGAAATGCTGTGGTGATTACAGGGCTCCTGCCTTGAGTGGTACAGTAAACCATCCCTGGAAAAGCAATTAGGACAAGGAAATTGTGACATTTGCTCCACGTGGAACAAACGGGAATAAAAGGCTTCCTCTTGGTTGGACCCACATGACGCAGTGCTAACCACACCAAGAACTCTCCAGCTCTCTCCTCACACACACCACCATCCACGTGAATCAGTGATAGAAAGTAACCCTTCACCCCCGCCACACACACACACACAACCAGACCAAATGAGAAGACCTCAGCAAAGAGCAGACAGTGGGGAATGAAAAGAACTGAACTCTCTTTGAGGAGAAGGCAAGGCATACAGAGGCTACATATCCTATGAAAACAAAATAGAAATGGGCTGGAGATGAAAGGGGTTTATGGGTAAAGGTGCATGGCAGGAAGACACCTGTCAGGGGTCTACTGGAGGGAGATAACAAAGTCCTTCAGCAGACAGTGGTGGTCACCAAGTCCCAATGACCCAGAGGCACGAGGGAAAAAGTGCCCAGTGGGTAGTCCAGGGTGGGAAGGCAGCAACAAGCTGGCAAAGACCTCATGCTGATACAACCCAGCTCCCAAACAGACATGAAAACCCAGGACAAAGATGGCTCAGCACCCAGCCCTTCCATTTTCTAGGTTTGTCCAAACCATGGGCAGTGTGCCATGCCCTTGGTAGTAAGTGCTACAGTGAGAGCTACTTGGACATAACCTTAGCAAATATTGTGTCACAAATCAACAAAGTAACTCCTTTTTCTTTTCTTTTTTCAAATCCTTCTGACTATTTTCAGGAGAAAGTGTCAGCTTGGCACTAGTATGTTTTTGACAACCCTCTAACACTTGCTAAATTCCTTTTTCACAAAGGGAGCATTGTCAATCTTAGAGCAATTGTTGAACAGAATGTACAACTTTATTACGTTCCACTGTTACCAAATATTTATGGTAAGTGATACTTCCTTTTAAGGATGTAATTTAAAGTGTCTATTTTTTTAGAGTTTTTTATGTGAGTCTTTTTTGAAATGAGTATATGATTTGGATAATACAAAGACAAAGCAAAAGTTACAAAGTAGGTTGGGAGTCACCAAAGATTGAGAGAACATTTGAGTACTAGAGATGAATTCTTGTCCTCTTAAGTAACTGATTCATAGCTCTCTCCAGGGACAAAAGGGGGGAGAGCAAGTTCATGGTAAAAATCAGTCTAAGCCTTTGATATCCTTAAGTATCTACTTTGATCCATTGCTAAACTAAAAATTACATTGCTTAAAACCTCAGGAATATTTACATTCTCATAATTACAAACATGAAATTCCCCTTACCATCACATTTTCCCCAGAGTGGATGCGTACCACAAGCTTGCTGGGCCAGGGCAGGCAGAGAACAGCTGCCCCTTCCAGCCAGAGTGTAGTTTCTACCCCGACAGTAGAGAAATGCATCTTGCAAATTGTCAGAGGCAGCAATATCCTTTTGCTTCTCTCATCTTAGGCACACACATCCAAGGAAGATCAGAAAAGAATTTTTAAATACATTATTTACAAGATTTTTGTTCTTGAAAGCTTAGAAGAAGTAAAAAGTAGGGCTTGGAGACCACTGCCCCTAGATTATCACCCACAGAAAATATGGGAAGACAACTCAAATCCCTTCCATTCTTAGGGCACAATCCCCTCTGATCTTCAAAATGAACACATTTACTCTTCACGTGTTCACAGTTTTTGCAAGCATAGATACCTAGTGTTGGTCTATTTTCATTTGTTTTGTTTTGGTTCTTTTCTCTGTGAAATAAAAGGATGGATCAGATACAGCAAATTAGATAAGGAGAGGTCTGCAAGGACCTGCTGATGGACAGATAACAAAGGAGACAGAAAATCAGCCAAGATTGTACATGGAAGAAAATCATAGGCAAATGAAACACTGACCACAGAAGAAATTTGCTCCCCCTGGGCCAGAAACCCTGGGAACTCATGTCTGTAATACCAATAATTAATGATTTTATATCATCCAAAGAAGATGAAACTGTGTTTTTCAATGCTATTTTAAAGTGTCTATGTTTACAAAGTACTTTAGAAGTATTTTCATAAAATATACTACCTTTTTTCTTAAGCATTGGTAATAAAATGGTAAGATACAGCTATTTAAAAGTATCACTACTAAAGAACCACATTTCTGGGTGCTGGTGGATAAAGAAAGCTTCTATTTTAAGAGAAAACTTAACACTACAAAGCACTGTTTTTGTATACCAGATGGGGTCAGAGACACCCTACACTCATATATTTTATTCAGCTCTATTTTCCTCTTTGATCAGGGCTAAATTTACTTAGAATTACTTACATAATGAAAAC